TAATTAATTTAGATATTGAAACGTGTTTCATAAGCGTTGAATCCATTCTTGGGTTGTATCTTTAAGAGAACACAAAGATACTATATCTTAACCACTGGACGCAAACCTTTACATTCTCCTAACTGACAATATAGCCAATATTGGAAACAAAAATGTTTGGGTTGAAATCGAAACGACTGGACCTACATTAGTTGGTTTTGGTTTTGTTGTCGGTAAAGACGGGAATAAAGATTTATGTTCTCATGAACAGACTCAGTCAAACCGAGTCGGCGGTCATGTTTGCAATGTTCTTGGAGGAAATATTTAATGTTCTGGGGGAGGAAAGATTTAATGTTCTGGGAGGAAAGATTTAATGTTCTGGGAGGAAAGATTTAATGTTCTGGGAGGATCTATCCTTTCAATAACCTTCATGACTTAATTGACATGCTTCACGTTATTAGCATATGAAGCTAAATATTTGAACATTTATTATAGGGATGTCACGGTTAGAAAAAATGCTATGCGTTTAAAAGTCGACGTAATAACCGTGTTAAGCGTTTCACCGACCGTACTAATAAAATCCTTAGATTTTTAACATTGTTCTATCTTTGTTTCTTTATGACAAAATTTGCCATTTTGTTCATATTTTGTTGTACTCAAACATATATCCGAATATGGAGTAACTATTTTCCGCTAGGGTCGTCCTGTATTAGATCAGATCGAGAGAAAAAAACATTGTTGAGTACAACTAAAATACAAATATTTGTCATATCTGGTTTTTTTTGGAGGGGTGGGAGGTTTGCATAAAAACGACCGTACCCGTTTAATCGAATAAACGCGACACTTCTAATTTATTTAGTTGTGTTACTATCAATTCAAACGATATAGATGCTTTGACAGAATGCGAAGTTTTGCGCACACTTTCATTTGGATTTAAATAGATGTTTTCTCAAATAGCCAATTAAAATTTGGGAAAGCAGAGATCCCTCGGGTGCATTAGCACCAAAACTTATACGAAAATTGTCCATATCGTAAATGTCAAGCTCCGTATTTTGATACATACCATATGAGAAAATTTTAAGTCGGTAGCTTTAGCTTTCGGATTACATTGATTTAATTTTAAATTTCAATTTCAAAATGGACAGAACATAAGATTTAAAGTAAATGATTTTCCATAGCACATTATTGTGAAGCGCTGTGATATTTTAATTTTAGTTAGAACCATATAAAAATATGTCTAAAAACAAAAAAGTGGAGAAAACCCAGGTAATGTATTTAAATCTGTATAGTGGAAAAAAAAAACCAAAAATACTGACTTGTCAATTTGAATTATGGAAGCTTTTAAATTCCTCAATATTTAGTGGACTTTAAACATGTAACTTTAAAATCTGTTTAGAATTATTCTGTGCAAATAAGGGATAATTTATAGAAAATTTATTCTACATCAAAATGAAATAATAGCAGGATATCTTTTTCTTAATGTGAACATTAATCTCTCATTCAGTTCATTACAGCTAGCCAAAACCTAAATCAAAGAGCTTAATGCACTTTACAATATAGCGTCGGAAATTCTCAAAAACTGGTAACAGTTAACTACATTTTTTTGCTAACAATAAAATTGGAAGCTTGTTTTTGAAGTCCTTCATTCACAACACTTGTAGAGTCACTTACACTAGTTTGTCTGTTCAAGTTTGTCTTGCCAAACGAAGTGGCGTCTGTGGCCGAGAGATGAAGGTTGTTGACTCCAAAACCACTTGCCCCTCATTGCTGTGGTTTCAAATCCCGCAAAAAAATTTGGATTTGTTCATGTGAGGAAGTTTTCCAGCTACCTTATGGGACATACTCAGGTGCCTGTTCGTGTCGGAATAAAATCACGGGGTGGCACCCGAGGTCTTCTTCCTTCGGTAAATCTGGAAAGTCGCCATATGACATCTTCTGTGTTGGTGCTACGTGAAACCCAATAAAAAGTTTTCAAATGTTGTTTTAAGTGTAATTTCTAATATTTATATATCAATCCTCCTGCATGGAACGGTATGCAATATACATGTAAGATAAGTTTCCTTTCTCATCTTAGATAGATGACTACAATAAAGGAAGCTACTAATATTTACAATGACCAGGGCAGAGTATATCCATGTTGTTTTTTATGACATTATTTACTGCAGTTTTAAACACAAATTATTTAAAATACGTATACATAATACATTATTAATTGGTAGATTTAAAATAGAGCGTTCATAGTAAATAAATAATAAATACGTTATAAATATTTTATTGTCAAAACCCTTCCCTATTAATCGAAACACTTTCAATTTTATTTTTATTTTATTATACAACAAAAAATGACAATTGACTGGAAAAGTGGTGCTGTGCGAATTACGAATTAGTTTTAGAGAAAATGTATGTTTTTAGAATCAATAATCCCATACAGTTTTTGTACAAAGAATGAATGTATGCCCATATTTGTTATTCATTTTATATAAAGTAAGGTTCCCATATTAGAATAAGATCCTAATGCAATCTGGTTTATTTTGTTTCTCAAGTGAACTTTATTTATATTGTAATTGAACCTTTGTGGAAGCTGTTACATTGACATTTACTTTTTGCTTGTAACAATGGAATGGAAAACCACCGTATGGTGATTGTAATAGTTTTCAGGAAAGGTTTTTTAGTATTTTATGAGCTTGCGTGTATAATGTCACAAGCAAAAATCTTCCCGTTTTAACTGTTAGCTCTGAATTATTTATAAACGTTTCCAAATTTAAGTATAAAATCAATACAGACAAAATCAATGTTTCCTGGGTGTTCTCTTGTTTTAGATACTTTGATGACAGTAAATATCTAAGCTTGTAATCATATAAATACCGTTTTACTACAATTTCAATGTTAATTCTATTAAATGTGTACCATGCACAACCACTAGAATGATTTTTGTGTGTAATTTATACAAACGGAAATAAAATATTTGAACCATTCGTTTAAGTATCGCGAATGTACAACAGTAATTGCAACAACCAGAATATAAAGTTAGACTAATAAAAAATCTTTATGATATTGAATTCTGCTTAAGCCGGAGCTAGGGGCGTGGATGGTAACTTACACCTTCCAATACCGTCCATGAACGAGCTCAATCAAACCGAGCCTGCAACATTTTAACTTTTGTCGTTTTAGGACTTTCTTAACTGATTAACAGAAGGTATAACACATATTTAATTTATCGTTGTGTTTCAACGTCAGCGATCAAAACCTATCACTAGATTATTATATACATTCCACCAAATACAAATTTCGTACGATTTTGTCGGAAAAAAACTTTGAATATTAATAAGCGCTTTCAGACAATGAAAAAAGAATATCTATAAACTTTTCTCTACAGTTTTAATTTTAATATCGTTAAGTATTATTATAGTGGCATGCGAAACAAACGATGGATAAATTTGCATTCTGTCAGCTGAACAACGAACTTTCAGTAAGAAGGAAAGAAAACTGTAAAACAACATACATGCGTGTTTCTGGGCAAAAATACATTTCGAAATCAGATAAAAATATATATTTGAAGTGTAAATTTTGCGCAGATGTAATAAATTGTCGTATTTACCATAGGCTCATTTTACGCTACGTTTTGTAAATTAAACCTTCTAACGTATCGTAATTTCATAACTACTCCATTTTTGGCTTGCAGCCACGGCTGCAAGCCCATTTGTTTTGGAAAAGTTGTTCCGGTTAGGTGGTTTCCTGCTTACATTTTTTAGTGCATGATTGAACGGGAAACCAGCTGCAATCATGCCAATCGCAACATTTCGGCCCTTTCCGTCACTCTTCAGATTAATTATAATATCCCCGTTTGTTTATATAAATAGGGTTTATATTTTTACTTGACTCCGTTTAAATTCTTTTTCAAGACGCAAAAGTTAGTTTCTTTTATAATTGGTTTTTGTCTTTATTAGTGTTATACAATAGAGAATGATTCCGTCTCCAAAGGGCGGTCCTGCTTACCAAAAGATCGTGACCGAAACACGCAGAATATTAGTGCATGATCAAGTTATATTTAGATCTACTGACATAGTTTAAACGTCTTGGTGAGGTAATCTAAAAATAGCCCATGCATATCATTAACCTTATCACGTGCTGATCTCCTATATATTTTAGGTGTAACATAGTTGATACATGCTTATTAAATAGAAATGAAATTAGCAACTGCCAAAACGAATGACTCTCTCTGCGAAAAAAGTGGAAATGAAGTGTGCAGTTTCCCTTCAGTACTCCACGTGAGAGCCAATGATAGTATTTTACGATTGATTATTTTCTTTATTAGTTTTATACAGTAGAGAACAGATTTCGAATCGTTTTTGACAAAAAATATTCGTTTTTACAAAAAAAAGTTGCTACTGTTATAGTCAGCATGTTCCCGTTCAGTTATAATCAGTGGACTTCTGGTTCCTATTTGGTCCATATTTGCACGCATAACACTGGTGCTCAAACAAATGGGCACAGGTGCTCCTATAAACCCTTTATGATATACAAATACCCTAATTCAAAAATAATTGTGAGAATAAATTGAAACAAACAAAAAAACGGGAAGGGACGATGACACAACTGAGCAAGCCTTTCCTTTTAAAAGGAAACTTTATTGTAATTGTTTCTTCTACTGTATTGCACTGTCTTTTGTCTATCGGTAAGATTTTAGACTTATCCCTCCGTTTTCCTGTAAACTTCGGTAAGAGAACAAACAAAGCAATCATACGAGGACTAAATTTGCAACGTATTAACAATAATTTGTTTCATGTAACTTTGTATATATGCTACTTACTATTGATATAGAGATTAATAAGGATTATGTTTACATATTTAACTAACTAACTATCGTTCTTGTTTGTAGGCGAAAAATGACATTCTCTTTTAGCGCATTGATGCCAAATTTGTAATATAAATTTTGACGAGGAAAAAATAATCTCACATACACATTATTTCATCATTTCGAAAACGAGTAGATATTTGCTCTTCGACTTTTATCCGCTTATCTTTAATGGCACGCGTTTTTGACTTACTACAAGATTATGAAATGCAACGTCACGTGACTGGAATGAAAATTAAACAATCTGAATAACAATAGGAAATAGCTTAGTGGATACAATGATCAAGTTTCTGTTATTTACCATTGGTGAGTATGTAATCAATATATGTAAATATCTAACAGGTTTTATATTTCTTTATTTATCATTTTACACCAATATATTTCTGATTTAATATACTCTATCAAATATGTTACAATACCAACTTGTTTTCTTTGTGAGTTTCACTTTTTAAGAATGTTAGCAACATTTACTAATTGTGACCTGCAAACCAGTTATTTCCTGACCGTAACTACGGATAATATGTTGTCTTAGCGTATATTTTTGCACCGATTATTTTTAGTGATATCTGAAAATAAGTACTTTTAAATGGTTAATGTAAATTTTAGTTTCTAATATTTCGATTTTATCTGGTTAATAATGTTCTGATTATATGTCTGTTTCTAAGTTTTATGCATTGTTAACGCTATATCGGATCCTGATCCTGCACATCTGTGTCAAGAGATCATGACAGAAGATTGTACTGTTTCTTACATACCTGGAGAAAAAGATGAGACGGTTTGCGGAACTGATGGTGTTACATACAGGAACATGTAAGCATGTAATATATTCTATCTAAAAGTGGAATTTGCACCAAAAAAATTGGTCACCTACATTTTATTTTACCGGTATACTGAGTTTTGTTGGTAAAGTTTTATCACAAAGATTTGCTTTTGCTACACTTTATATTCTTTTATTGTATTTTTCACAGGTGTTTCTTCTCCCAATCGAGATGCAATAATAAGAGAATACAGATGAAACACTTAGGGGACTGTGTCATCACCACCACTCATCCGACCACAACTGGCAACTTTTCTTTTCTTTTTAAGGATTTGAAGAAAAGAGACAGTACTCGTATGTTAAAGAGGTTTTCTCATTTACCGGCTAGAAGTCAATGATCATTAATGACCGGATCGTTCAATGATTTTACGCCAGAGCCATACCGTTTTCTTTCCTTTGAGAACAACGCGTTGGTGGCGAATATCTATGATCATAATTATAATTTCCAAGAATCGTCACAATAACACCGATTGTTCTCTTTATTTGAACTCAAATGATGATAGACTAGGCATAATTATTCCTTGCTGATTATTCAAACCTTAGAGATACGTATATACATGTATATATATAACATTATGTTGTCTTAGAATGGCATAATGTTGCTTTTTTTTCGGTTAAAGTTTGCTTTGCAAAAAAAAGAAAAAAGAAAACAACACCATTATTAACACATTCTATTTGCAAATAATAAGATATGTGCAAAGAGCAGGACGTGAAGTAGTTATCTTCAATAACTTCATCAAATCAGAAGCTAGGACGCTAAAACCTAAAATCGAATGTGCTCTTAGTATTGCCTTAATGAATGGGCTTGTTAAAAAAAATTGAAATAACATACAAACCCACTTACCTGCGGGTGTTATACATTTGCATGACTCGTGAGCCATTTTGCCAAGTTTGTTGAACGAAATATGCCATCCATTCTCGTCATGCTCCTTGCAAATAGGAAAAGACATGTCTTGTAAGATTATAGGCATTTGATTAAGGATTTACAAAAATGTATTTATTGCAATATTTTGTTATTGCGTGTTTTATGTTTGTTTGTTGTATTTTTTGTTGTTGTTTATTTGTTGTTGTTGTTGTTGTTGTTTTTTTGTTTTTGTTTTTTTTTCATTTTTATTTTCAATTTGTATTGCTATTTATGTATTTATTTATTGACGTTAGCGCTTAGACGAACGTTAATTCTTTGTCGACGTTGAAAAAGACTTGTAAATAACTCCTAAGGAACATTTTCACTAACGATTTGCCATACCTGTTTTGATTGTTGCGGAAAAAAATGATGTGAGATGCCGCCATATATCCTACTGACTCGTTATTGCAAGTCAAAATATTGACAACGTGTTACGAAAATGTAAATATGTTTATTAATAGAAAGAGCATCGAAACACGAGGCTATCAGATTGTCGGGTGTTTTGATGTTCTGTCTCTTTTGTATCATAGTCAAACATAAAAACACGTTCCCTGTTGTCACAATATGAAACCCCAGAGAAAAGTAACCAATGAACGAGCATCTAAATATGACCTTTATGTCGCTTTCTCTTTCTCTGCCGTCACAATCAGTAAACCCTAGCAGAAATGAGCCAATAAATGGGTATGCTCTGGAGTGCGGGTAACTAATACGGTGCATGTATATGTATACGTTTCAACTCGGACACATTTTCAGCAAAAGGTCTTCAAACTATGCTACAAGCATTCTTAAAGACCGTTTTGGTTAAGTTACATTGAATTAAATGGTTTTATGGATGTCCCACATCTGAGTGGTGAATGACTAGATACCTAAGAGATGAATTCGCATAAATATTTGTCAGGTTTTTTTCATTTTTGTAAGAGTATAAAAGTATGGTAAAGACATCATGCTAGAAACGAGTGTTTCTGTTTTCGTTTTTTCATGGCGTGTATTATGTCATTGTGTAGCAAAACCAATGCCCCTATATGTTGATTTGCTTGATCCTCACAGGTGTAAACATTGTTTCGGCTTCCCAACTATGTCAAAACTTGCTGTCCCTTGACTGTATGGCATACAATCATGAAGGAGGAAGGGATGAAACAACTTGTGGAACTGACAATGTGACGTACAGAAACTAGTAAGTATTTTTTTATTAGTCTAAACGTTGAGACACTTGTTAGCCACTATTTCATTGGTCCAAATGAAGATACGAGATAAGCATTTACTTCGTGACCTCATATAGAACTTTATGCATTTGCTTCTTAAGTCCTAGATTTTATTTTATGTTTTTCAGTGGATTACTGATTTATCCGAGAAAATTATATTTGATAATTTCACAATAAAAATTATCAAAATATAATTTCACACTTTTCAATGACGAAACTACTTTTAAGATTTTACCCATGCGGTACCTCAATTTTATTTTGCTGACAATTCTGGCAATGTCAGGCTGTTTAAAGAAAAAGCAAAGCTGAAATTGATAAATAACTTAAATGTCAAAAGTAATAAAAAAGAAGAAAACTTACTTCTATTCATTCAAATTCCAATCACCACATTTCGTCTCTAAATTTGTTTGTTTCAATTTTTACAGTCTGAAAAATACATTCCTTCCACAATCAAAACTGCTCTTGATGACATGTGGGCATATTAAAGTATCCTACGAGCAATAACTACTGTCGTATGCTTTATGAAAAATTGGAAAGCAATGGCAGCCATCTGCTCGTAGAATAAGTAAACTACCCAGCGTTCCTGAGCCAGAGTTTTCCATTTTTCTATGTGCATTTTTGAATGTTTTCACATCTGTCAACACTTATATTTTGTCAGTTTCAATCCTCAAATAAGTTTTCTTTCTTTTAAAAAGGTGTATGACTAACAAATCCAAATGATATTCCTCTAAATCAAACACAATTATTTTCCTCCCGTTAAATACACAACTTTAAAAAATGGCACATAGCTATGGTGGCTGTATGTGCCATGTCACTTTTTCACTTCGCGGGTCGCCAGACAGAACAGAACAGAACAGAAAGTTTATTTTGACGTATTCAAAGTACAAAGTCAATTACATAATAAATTCATTTATACATACATATATACAATCACAAAATCAATGGATAGTCTGCAAATTTCTTGAAGGTGAACAGTTTAATCTATTTTGTTTCCTTCAGTATAGGATTTGACATAATCAGTTTAACATATATTACATAGTTTAATATTGAGTTACGAACACGTTGACAAAGATAGCGTGAATTTCACATACATTATTGTGTCACTTGCAATAAAGTTATCTATACATACGTAATAAACAACTATATATACTATATTATATTTCGCAAGGGAGCTAATTAATGTAGTCGTGTCCATATTGTATAATACGAGTTATTGTATATAACGTATAACATCTATGGTAAGGTTACACTTCTGTATCAGTATTGTTTGATTTTATTAACCTGTCAATTCCATACTGATTATACGGTCAATGCACAGAATATATATTAATATTCGATAAATGTTCGGTAAATTCCGTGTGAGGTACGCAGTAAGATGTGATTAAATTCATCTAGTTTCTATGAATAAGTTACACTGACCGTTATAGAGCAATAGGATAAACCACGGGTATATTTTATCTGACTGAGTATTTCCAGTTTTTTTTTTTTTTCTTATTCATAACTATTTTCAATATTTTTTAAGTTATGGTTGTTCCGTTTTTGATATGTTTTGCACTTTTTTGTAAATACTATACTTGTGATATAACATTGTTTAAGAATTGATACTGAATATTCATTCGGATTAAAATTCAGTGCCGTAAAATACAATATAAAATGTGACAATTCAGTGTTTCTTAGTTGTTTCATATCCGTGTAGACAAAGTTGTTTCATATCCGTGTAGGCAAAGGCTTGACCATTTTCATTAAAATATACTTAAAAATAAAGAAAGAATAAATTTAAAAAGAGAGGGATCGAACCTCGGACCTCTCATGCATTAGGTACTCACTTAACCGACTTTGCTATTGTGGATGTTACGAGAACCCTTCATTAAGCTAGTGGCAGTTTTCCAAACGTAAGTTATATATACTCCATATTAATTCTCGTAAAATAAACGGGCAAAACCGAAGTGGGATTGAATATTTAAATGTGTGCTATAATGTATTTATAATTGACAGGTCAATAAAATCAGACTATAGTATAGCGTAATATTTCGATTTAAAACATGTTTATCCAGATACAAGTGAATTATCAACTATAGTATCACACTATACTATATTGAAAGGGAATAGTACTCCAAAACTACAGTTAATCTTAAACGAAACGAAAGGGAAGGTTAACAATTGGCTATTCCAAAAGATATTTCGATTGCAAAGTTGTAATTTAAGAAAAAACCTTACGACTAACTTGGGTCATAAGACAAAATAATATATTTAATACAATTCTTAACTGTGCACAGGAGTAATATTTCCATTTTTACAAACATATATAATAACTATAGTAGTATCGTACCGATTGTGTAACTAGCAATAAAGTTGTCTATACATACGTTAATATACTGTAACTCCTTTGAAATTTAACAGTTTGAAAGAGTGAATAAAAGTCAAGGCTTTGGAAGGTTCTGTATCTCTTTTATTTTCTGTTGGCACAGCATGTATCTTAGACATGTTAGACAAATACAATTACAAGCAATCTTCTAGTTAACCATACATAATTAACACATTCTAAATATATATTACATTTCACATTCTTGAATTGCATAAATCAATCAATCATAATCAATTGCATAAATTAATCAATCATCATAATCAATTGCATAAATCAATCAATCATAATCATTCCAGTGGCTTTTAATTAACATCAAACATTTTATCATACAATATCATAAAACACTTATAAATTCATTTACAACAATATATCACACTTACCAGTTTATGGAACTAAGTGTTTACATCAACACAAATACAATATACACTCCTCTCTCTCCAGTGTGCTGTTACTATTCTGCACATTAAAGTGAATAATGAATAGAATGTGAGATTATTTATTTATTCATTAGTTGAAAATAGAAAGATATGATACTGCAATATTAAACCAGTCTTTAGAGTCCAAAAATAAGACACAGCAACCATTTACATTACTTATTAAATTCACTATCATAATTCAAATAAAAACAACATTAAGATAAACAATACTTAATGCTTTGAAAAATCATCAAAAGCAGTTTAAACTTTACATACCTTATAAATAATACTGATATTCCATAAATCACAAAAATTTAAAACCATGAGAACAATGTACATGTCTCTTCATCAAAAAAACTGAACACAATAGTCACATGATCAAACTGGCGGGAAATCATAACTACTGACTGGTCCAAGGGAAACAACTCTTTTAATGATATATAATAAAGACTGACAGATTGTGTCCCTGTTACACCGATAGGTAACTTTATATAATATGTTAGATTTCGCACGGGAGTTAATTAATGTGATCTTGTCCATATTGTATATTTCGAGTTATAAAACGCTCATTGCACTATATGCAACAATGTTTTGGCTAACTATAAGATATCTTCATAACTAAATATAACTAATAATCTATTTAATTAGAACTGTACGGTTGTCCAGAAACATCCATATAAAGTTTGCTATCTTTTCAACAATGTTTGGCTTAATTATAATTTATTTTCATAACTAAATATAACTCATCATCTATTAAATAAGAACTGTTCGTTTGACCATAAACATCCATATAAACACTATTAGGCTTATAATAAATAACATATTATTTACAACATCAAACTATTAACATACATATATACAAACTAACACAGTCTGTTGACCAAAGCAACCATATTCAACTTCAACTTCAAAACTTTATTGCATTAAACAAATTTATACATGTTTATAGCAAGTACAAAATATATAAACACAAACAACACAAGTACATGGATTTTTTTCAGAAGAGCCTTACAATCATATGAATGAAATACAGATCACATTTGAAATTTTGATAGGATTAATTTCTTAAAGTGTTAGCATGATATATAAATTTGCTTAAACCATTAATAGTTAACGATGATTCAGACATTAAATTGATAAACTTTTGCTTAGTCTGCCATATGAAGTTAAACCGTTTAAGATACCTTTTTCTCAAATCAGAGAACTTCGGGCAAATAAGAAAAAAATGATATTCAGTCTCTATTTGATTAAATTGGCAATTTTCAAAAAAACATTCATTTCTTGGAATATTATGATATCTTCCATATTCTATAGCTAAATTATGAGACGATGTTCTGAATCTAGATAAAGCTTTAAGTATTTTTCTAAATCAAAAGTATGTTTAAATAAACTGTATGTATCAAGACGTGGTGAATTATTTATCTAGGTATACCATTTTTCGTAATACAAACTAAGAATTCTGAATTTGATCGCTTTAAAATCTACCTGTATGTTATATTGGTTTTCCCATACAAATAATAATCCAGATTCATCTAATATTTGTTTAATAGTGTAAGCCCAATTTTTACCATTATAAGATTTCCATTGTCAGCACCAATTCCTGACATAGAATATGTTTTAAAAAGGATAGTACTTTCTTGAAGCGATAATAACTTAATCTAATATTTAATCATAATTATTTTCCGTTGATTATACATAAGTGTTCGACAAAGCTCGTCATATAACGCTCCTCGGTTTGTGGATAATTTAGTTCCTACAATTTTTCTACAAAATTTACAATGAATAACTTCGACAGCGGGTGCGATTTGTGATCCCCATACCTCCGCCGCGTAATTTAGAGTTGATCAAACAATTTTATTTGCTGTGAAACGGGTAAATCTACTTGATTAAAGATAATAAACAAATTATGAAGAGCGAAAGACGCGTGTTGTGCTATACTTTCCATTGTCCGTTCTTGAATAGATGTACGCCTAGATATTTAAAGGATTTGACAACTTCGATTTTTGTGTTATATAAGTAAAAATCATAATTTGTGTGAAATCATTATTTTTGTTTTATTAACTGTAATTATTACAGTATAATCCTATATCGTATGATAATGATTGTAATGAGTAAGGGTTTTTAGAAAAAAATCGCAGCGTCATTTGCGAACAATAATAGAAATATTTGCATATCACCAAGATTAATTATT